GCTGTGGGCTTGGTGGCCAAGCCTTTGAACAGGAGTGAGGCTAAGGGTGACCCTGTTGTGATAGAGACCTGTATCTAGTTAGCATGATAACAAAGAAATTTGCATTTGAAAAGCAGCAACATCTCTATCATAACAAGGTCATCCAAAGCCTGACTCCTGTTCAAAGGCTTGGCCACCAAGCCCACAACTGTAAAAAGGACTATTGGTTTGCTATCTGGATTAAAAGTCCTCTGGGTCATTTGTTGCACAATACTACTCTGATTCCACAAACAGAAAGAAATACGGGTTTCTTGTTGACATTTGTAGAAAAAAACAAACATTGCATTTAAACCCTATTGGTAACAGCTGACAGCAGAAAGTTGAAACATCTTGGAATCCACCAAAATATTAAACACTTCCTTACCAGGAACTGTGCAATGGTAGGTAAAGTGCAATGTAGTAACAAGTTTTACAAGTGTGAAAGAAAGAAAGAAAGAAAACAAAAATTTACATGAAGTTTGAGTCATCTATTTAAATAAGTAATAACAAAATCCTTGCATATATTTTCTGGTTTACCTTCTCAAAGTTGTGAGTGCTTCAAGTCCATTCTTTATGCCAGTTTCAGGATCTATGGTGATCTGGGTACATCTTTGGAATAAAATAAATAACAAGTTAATACATGTAATGTACAAAACTGTATTTCCTTACATATAGGCAACTGCTTATTTAAAATTTTTCCTAAAAGGAGGGGTGCCTGTTTGAAGAAGGGCACTCGATCAAGTGGGACACTCATCAATTTTCAACTGTTTTCTTCAAGAGCATACCAATAACTTCATTATCCTAGAAATTACTGGTCATCAATGACTAGAGAATGGTCTAGCTGTACTTGGGAAGTTTACAGAATTTTTTACCTACTTTTTGTGGAAGTGAGGGACAAGGGGTGGGGGAGGGAGAGCTCTTATTTGAGAGAGGCACTTGTTTCAGGGCTCGACACTAACTCTTCAACTTACTAGCCAAGTGGCTAGTGACATCTTAGATGTTAAGACAATTTCAGTCTGTTTACTAGCCAAACTGACTAGTGGAAATTGAAATCCACTAACCAAAACTGCATTTCTACTAGTCTGTGGCTAGTGGGCTACCATTAGTGTCGAGCCCTGTTGTTTGACTCTATTTCTAGGGGATAGACACTTCAATTCAGGGGAAGGTACTAATAAGAGCATGGGAGCTTCTTCAAGGAAATACCGTAGATGTAAGGGAGACTTGTGACGGTTCCTGGGAAATATGATGGCATATAGCGGTGGTTCCATTTAGAACATTGAACTCCATATCAGTCATTCTGGGCTCAAGCTGAAGTCATGGCCACTGTGCTTCATTTATGACCTGATCCACTTCTTGAAAACTTAATCAAAATAATATTTACCTTCCACAGTCTTTGAGAGTTCTGAACCTAACATCTGCTATCTTTAGAAATTTTTGGTGCCAATGATCCTAATGATGAATAAATAATTTATAGTGAGCCATCATGATGCTCTCAAAGTGCTTTCTAATCTCCAAATTTATAACTGCCACTAAACATTGAACTTATACAGAGATGCATGTAAAGCTGCGATAATTATCTTTTGTAAATCTCCAAGTGGACAAAATAAGTATGAAGTCCAGAGAAGACTGTGAACAGGTAACTCTGTTGTATTACAGTTGCTATAATTATAATAAATCCTGGCCAAGGACATTGCGTTGTGTTCTTAAGCAAGACACTTTACTCTCATGGTGCCTCTCTTCATCTTGGAGAATTAAGTAGGTAACTGTGAATTTAATGTTGGGGGATAACCCTGGGATGGACTAGCATTCCATCCAGTGGGGAGTAGAAATACTCCTAGTTGCTTCATGCCATGTAAACTGGAGTTATGTGCTAGCCCGATGGACCACTTGGCTTGTATGCAGGCTTTATCTGCAATAAATCTGAGACAGAATATTTAAATTCAAGTAACAAACCTCAGCAAAAGGCTCAGTTCCCCCAATGACAATATTAGCACGGAACCTATTCATGCCGATGGGAGATTTCAAAATTCCATTCAGTTCCACAAGTGATGACTCTGTAGTCATGTGATATGCTGCAAAACTTGCATAACCCATCTACCACAAAAGAACAGTCGGTTAAAAATTAAAGAGAGGGAAACTAAATTTGGATCAATGTCATTTTCTGAGCAACTACACACCTACCCCTGCCCCCCCGCATAATCCAACAACACTCAACTGATAACAAGTTAGGGGAGGGGTGGGTGGCACAGTTGTTGTAACATCAATTTGATATAATCTTAAATTATAATTACCGCTAAATGTTTTGGGGTGAAAAAGTTGCTGTGCTGAACCCTCAATGCTGAGACTAAAACCTTAGAAGTTAACCAATAGAAATGTTTACCAAGTCATCAGAAAGGTTATCTTAGGCGCATAGTGCATCCTTGGGGATAATTGGGTGAGCGAGATTGAAGGATGAGGTTCTCAGTTACTCAAAGACCCCCAATTCAATTGCTAAAGTTCAAATTCAAGAGGTTGCATCTAACTCACCACTTCCCCCTCCTCCTTTTCCTGCAAACCTCTTTCCATCCCACCTAATAACTATTATCGCAATGGTGATGTTAAAGGGTCCTGGAAACCAAGTCTAACAAAGTCAAGCTTTTATAAAAAAAGTGAATGATATATAGATATTCTCAAAGTTCTTCATAATTTTATTTCATGAGGCTATATAATCCATAAATACCAGGAAAGTCTTAAATGTACAGCATTTCTCCCTGAATTCTGTGAGTAATATCACACAATAATGAAAATTGATTTGTTCTGAGTGTACCTTGTCTCCTGGTGATGCTAGGTCTCCCCATTTCGTATCTTTTGTGGAATCCCGCAGTTCGTGAATTTGATATATTTTGCAGCCTGGTTTGTTCAGCAAGGTTGAAAACCATAAAGAAGCTTTGTCTCCAACATAACGACTCTTGGACGAGACCCTTGAAACTCTAAAGTAAACCATAAATTAAGGCATTCAGAATCATACTATAATGATGATAATATAATAATAATAATAATTATTATTATTATAATTAAATTAACAATAATATCAATCATCATCATCAGCATCATAATCCATGCAGGGATAAGGTCTGCATGTACAAGGCTGATATCGATCATGTGTCTTCCAGTCTTCTGGAATCTCAGAGACACTGGCGATTTTGAGTGCACAAACAAATCAAAGAAATATGAACCTCTACAAGAATATTGTGCATTGATGATTAAAGTTCAATACTTGAGGTCTTTAAACTCCTTAGTGTCCGGCTGGATAGGAATTCTCAGTGTGTCCATACTCGGCGCATTGAGACAAAGGCTGCCATCTTCAAAATGTGGAACCACCTGAGCTAACACTGGTTTGTCCACTGAAGTAAGGTACTTATCATCTCTGTCAACTACCACCCAGTTCCTAGGAGAGAGAGAGAGCCATATAAGTCGCTTTGTGTTTTCCAAGCCTATACAAGGCCATATTAATTAGTAATCAATCAATAACAACGGTTACGAACGATTGAGATTGAGATTGGAAATTATTAAAAGTGAATGCCGCAGAGTTGTGTGGTTTTCTGATCTCATCGGATTCCGTTTACTTTTTCTTAAAATAAGAATCTTTTGAGTTTGTTTGCGTGGGAGGTATCAGTTTCCCTGAAGCGGTAATTTTTTCGACCGTCGTCGGTCGCTTTTATAAAAGAGCAAGTGGCTATTGAAAAATCCTCATCTCGAAAGAGTCAACATTACAAAAACAAAACAAAACGAAATAAATACGGTAGGCATGACCAATGAATGCATTATACCTGTCAAATTGTATGCCTTCTGTGAGACACACAGCATTTTCCAGCTCAATTCCCGCGCATGATTTGACCGGATAGATGAACAGTCCGGACACATAACCTACTCGCCTAAATTGCTCGATCTTTCTCATTTGCATTTGCCTCCAACGAAAATATGCAAAGGCAAGCAAAGGCAGCGAAACAGGAAGAGTGATCTTCCACAATCGTGAATGAAATGAACCCATGTTGTAATGTTGTCGATAAGGATGATTTCGTCACGTCCGGCAGAAATATTGCAGTTGCGTGACGTTATCGTTACTTCTGTAGAAGAAAAGAAGAATGCTACTTATCAATTTTCAATCAACTATTTATATTTACCGAAACAGGGTCTCGATGCGGTTAACCGTAAAAATAATTCCTGTGACAACAAAAACTGGATCATGTATAATGCAATTCAAGACTTTTTATTGGCTTAGCCATTATGGTATATGAGCCAATGTACCATAATTTAATCTCTGTACATTGTAACATCCGGTTTCTTCTTACAAAACAATAATTTCTTGGGGGCGTTTTTAATAAAACAATTATTCCACTCGCGCTTGTTGGATATGAGATGGTTATAGCCAACTCAGCGCTACGTGCCTCGTTGGCTATCTATCATCTCATATCCAACGCGCGCTCGTGGTATAATTGTTAAATATATATTAAGGTCCGGTAATACGGGCAACATTTTTCTTCAACTTGTCTTTCAACATTGTTGCATTGCAAGTTGAACTCCTTTGTTGAGAATTTGTTGCAGAAAGTAGAACTCGAGTCTGCTTTGCACAACACGTTGCCTCAACTTGCAACACTACATTTTGTTGCGAGATAAGTTGGTCACGAACATGGTAATACATGCAACAAAGGGTTTCAACTTGCAATGCAACAATGCTGCAAGAAAAGTTGAAGAAAAATGTTGCCCGTATTACTGGACCTTTATGGACACAATATAAAGTTGGGTGTTATTTCTACAAAGTCAGATGCATTTCTAATTTCTGGACTGGAGAGTCCTGGGAAAAGACTACAGGTCCTGAAAAGTCCTGGAAATGTGCTCAACTCAAGCAATAAAGTTTTGAAAATTTAATGTCACAAATGTATGTAGATCGTAAGGAAAACTGATTTTGAAATCTTTGGAAAAAAATGGTTTAAGGTTAAATTTGGAGCCAATGAGTCCTTTTGCATAAACCCTGAGGAAATTATTACCAACTAAAGAAGCTCTTATTGTTAAATAAATTCTCCTTGTCAGTCTCTTAGGAAAAACATGAGAGCAGTTTGGAGAATATGCATACTGATGTTAGGGTGTTGAGCATTCATCCTAACTTTTGTTCCCAGGCTGTCTCAAAATTCAACAGAAAACAGACAACAAATTGAATTATAGTTTCTTTCTTGTCTGGGAACATTCTCTAGTATGCTAGTCAAATTTGAGCATTGGTAACTTTTCTTTTAATCAGTTCTGATAAGGTCTTTTTGCTGGTTGCTTTGCAGAATCTACATATTCCAGAGTTTTGTACTTCAGTGTTTTCTCCATTTTATGTCTCTTTGGTCTAGCAACATGGCAACTTTTCTACTTACGACGATTCTTTATTGCCAAGAAGCTCATAGAGTAATTTTTCAAAAGGATTTTAACAATTGATGCCACTTCAAAGTTTACTTCTGTGCAAGGTCATGATATTGTGTGACATTTTGAAAATCTCATTGGCTGGCTGGAAGTGAACAGTTTCTCAGGGGTTATTTCTGGTAAACCCCTAATTATACTCAACTAACTTGAGTAAAGAGTACTGTTTCAAAGTGTGCTAAATGCTTGAACTTTTTTACAACTACTATCTTGGTGTCAGTACCCTTTAAACTTTAATATTCTTGGTGGTTGTACATTTGGTTTTGATCTTTTGTCAGGTTTTGTGTTTAGAAGGAGGTGAAACAGATAGCTAGTGTACCAATTGATTTGATTTAAGCAGTGTTGGCCAACATTAGTAGGCAGTATGAACAGTAAGAACCTGTCATTAACAATTAAACACTGAAGTAAATTTGGAAAATGCTTTTTTGAGAATTAACCATTTATATGGGGCCAATTGCTTCAGAGAAATGTCAATGATCAGAACACAGGCATTCCAAATTAATTTTGCCACTTCCATTAATTAACCCCAACACACCAACTGTGCATGAGAAAAATACTCTCCAGCTGTCTGGAGCAAGTAGATTTCTCTGTTGGGTAACCCTTAAACTCCCTAGATCTGGTATTCAATTCTCCCCTCCAGCTACAACACAGTTCCTTGTAAATAAGTTATGAGAATTTGACGTTACATCGAGATAAATTCCAGCTAATAAGTTTGAGTATTCTCAATACTTGTTTGCTGGATAATGTCTGGGTTTTATAGGGAGAAGTTAAGGAAGACGACAAGTTAAGGGTCAAAAAATAGTATGGATAATACTTGGTGATCAGATATGGTAAATTTGTTGATACATTTATACCTTCTAACATAGTTTCATTGCACTCAAAGAGATATACTCCTGGGCCCAGTTGTTTAAAGGCCAATTAACACTAATCCAAGCTTACATTGTAATCTGGGTTTCTTTGCTCCCATCTTCCAAAGTCTTTTCAGGATAGTTTTATCTATTTAGAAGATCCTTAATCAATTTCTAGGTAAACAGAATTCCTATATACTTATTCTTTTTTTCAAAGCTTCAAATCTGAAATTAGATTTCAAACTAACCCTGGATTATCTGAACTCAGCTTTGAACAACCTAGATCAATGAAGTGCAGTTGATTAAATACCGAGGGAGTACCCTGTTAAATACAAATTTTTATTGACCTTGAAAAGAAACAATATTCTACTAGTTCCAATTTGCCTTTCACAGAATCTACATGAAACAGCAGAATTTTACTGTCTCTCATTAAAGACAATTTGATCAAAATGATCTGTGGTAAATATGATTTGATTGTTCATTAAATAACATTAATCTTGCATAGTAGCCTTTGAATAAGTCAAACATTTCAAAATGCAATGCAAGAACAACTTGGAAAGAGTGGTACTTGACTTTGAATTCTGTTTTCTACAATTTTTGGGAAGACTACTGGAGAGCCAGAGTCAATTTGACCCAGTTTTCCCAACTCACATATAAGCAGACTGAATGTGCATGAAAAGTATGGCTATTTTCTTCTTTTGAAGGGAAAAGAATTCAAAATAATTTTGGTTGAGGAATGGTCTTTGTTGGGCTTTCCCTTTGTCTATCCTCATCAGATGTGTTGGTTAGAAAAACTTGATCTTGTCTCATTGAAACTCCCTGTGCCTTGTTTCACATCTGACAACCACATCCCACCCCCTGGCATATTTTACATTTGACAAACTCAGCCCCCCCCCCCACCCCTTGCCCCTCTAAAAATTGATAATTTAGTAGGAGATAAATACAGGGTCTCCAAGC